AGGACTCCTAGTCCTGTCCCTTCCTCCTCCCATTTGCCTCGTTTCCCCCTCATCAACCGTGGATGGCAAGTTGAGGTGAGATGCTGGGTCCTCTAGAAGTCACCTGATCCCTTCCCTGGTATTAGTGGARAGTCTTCTGGGTCCAAGTTAAGAAACCACTCAAAACAGCTCAAGTCCCAGTGGAGATTTAATATGAGGGTACTGGYGTGTTTCTCAGAGCTCAAGGTCGGAGACATGGCTGGACCACAGGAACGAATTGGAACCAAGAAGCTGTATGCCAAGGCGTGACCTTGGTTCCTCTTYGTGGGCTGGCTCCCTCCTTTTGCGGGTTGCAGAGAGGACTTTCAGCTTCCTGGTCGGCCCACAGGGTGGGAGAGATGGGAGGCTGTTTCCCTTGTGTCCAGGTTGACCAGTGGGGTCACCTGGAAAAGAACTGATCTCTCTTCTCTCTCAATCCTGGTTCTCATCTTGGGGGAGAGATTTTGGCTGAGCTGAGATCACAGGGTGTACCGGATAACCAAGAGAATGGCACAAGTGGTAACCAAGACAGTCCCGAGTTTTGGGAATGTGGCTATTTCCATGGTAACTGTGGATGTTGGGGTGGGGGCAGTTTCTAGAAAGGGGCATACATGAGTTTGGCTTGGAGAGTTTACACCCCTGGCCTCTCATGCTCAGCTCTTTTGCTGTCTGATGATGACCACCGACAAGGTCTAGTAGATGGCATGGCAGTGTGACTGAAGGAGCCAAGATATGGTTATGTCACTGCCATTGCCCATGGGCAGAGCCTGGACCAGTGGCCGTTCCACCTGTTACCCTATCCACTGGTAAAATGCTATTGTTTTATTTAAGTCCTTCCTAGCAGATTCAGACACCAGGGAGTCAACGTCCAATCACTTCATATTTGGAAAGCTCATCACCGATTCTAAATTCAGTCCTTCATAATGTAATTGAATCCGTCTATGGTCTCTCATTCCATCTTGGGCTTAGAGGAGGATTGAGGCTCCCATCTTTTAGATGGACCAAATTAATGAAGATAGAATTATTTCTGCATGACGGGAGGCTGAGGCAGGAGCATCTCACTAAGCCTTGATACTTAGTGAGACTCTCAGCCACTTAGTAAGACCCTGTTTCAAAAAAAAAAAAAAAAGGGGGGGGCTGGGGATGTAGCTCAGTGGCAAAGCGGCCCTGGGTTAAATCCCCGGTAACTACCCCCCCAAAAAAGATATTATTTCTGCATGAGAAGACAAGAGTTTAGGTGTAGGGGATATGGAATTTGGCACCTTTCTGGATGGTCACTACCTTTCATCCAAAGAAACCCCAGAGAAGAGAAAAGACAAGCCTCTGACTGCATACAGAAATGGCAGAGAGCGCTCTTCTAGATTTCTCTTTCCCATGCTCCACAAACCCAATCAAGTTTGGACCATAAGAAAGGTGTGGAGGTTCAGGGAGGTCAGGGGGCTGGGGAGATACRAGGTATAGGAAGAAGAAGACAGGGCCAAGGTGCCATCGTCCCTCCCTTACCTACACTAATGGAGCCTGGGGGGGAGCTGGGTAACCCAGATAGGCAAGGAGCCCCAAGTCCTTTTTGATCTTTGACAATGAACAGCTCACAATTAGCAATGTAGAGGGGGATGGATTTCACTTCCTATGTTTCTGGTGTCCCACAGCTTGGGAGACTGAGATGATGATGGCCATTAACTGTCACGGCATTGTTTCTGTGTGTACGAAGTCATTGAATTCTCACGACAAATCCCAAGAGGTACAAGGTTACAGCTAAGAAACTGAGGCCTAGAGAGTTTGAGTAAGTTGTCCAAAGCCCCAGTGCTCCCAAGGAGCTGAGCAGGATGCAAATTTAGGATGCAGATTCTTCCTCCTCTCCCTTCTGATGAGGAAGTCAAACAGTTCTATCCCAGGTGATGGAGCTTCTCCAGGGGAGGGCTCTTGTCCTCTGTAGCTGTGCTGAGCTCAAATGGCCGTAGTAGAATTTCTTGACCGAAAGAGGAAAGTTAGAGGTGGACGAGGATTAATCTTTATTCTGAGATTTTTGTCTTTCTTTTTTTTTTTAATTTTTTTTTTTTTAGTTATAGATGGACACCATACCTTTATTTTATTTGTTTATTTTTATGTGTTGCGAGGGATCACACCCAGTGCCTCATGCAGACTAGGCAAGCGCTCTGTCACTGAGCCACAACCCCAGTCCCTGAGATTTTTTCAACAAGAGAAAAACAATTCACATTTAGATGAAGCGTGTTTTCTGCTACCAGAAGTTTAAATGGCACATCACAGACAAATGTTGTTAGAGCCAGGAGATTTTTTTTTTTTTTTTTAGGAAGAAGGATGCATTAGTCAGTCGGTGACTTCCTCCATCGGAATCTATCTATATCTCTACCCTGCCGATTCTTTTCATTTCTCTCTCAGTGGAGCTGGTGGCTGGGAGGGAGGGATGTGGAGGTGTCTCTGTGGGTGGTGAGAACCATATGCCTACCCGACCCCACCTTCCTGGGGTCACATAGGAGAAGCTCCCATGATGCTCTGCTTCTCTTGCTTCCTGTCCTCTTCCATATTCACTCCCTAAATCTCTCACCTCCATCTTCCACGTGTGCAGATGTGGAACAGCAGTCCCGGGGCTGGAGGAGCAGGCAGAAGGCAGGCCCCAGGCCCTGCTTGGCTGTGCTCCTAGGGCTGTGTGGGAGGGCGCCGCAGAACTACCTTCCTCCCATCTCGCCTGACTTCCCTGGAGCCAGTGAGGTGGGGGAGTCTCTGAGAGGAGCAGCAGGAGGGCCTGGAGAGGCCCAGGAGCTAGACTATTTCTGTAACACAGACACATCTGCAGCCAGCCACAGAGAAGGTCAATCTCTGGGCGCAGGGCTGGAATGCACGGGCCGGGCAGTGGGGAGAGCTGTGGTTTCCCCTTTCTGGCAGCCTGGAGGGCTTTGCTGTGTGTGCCCTTTGGGGAAGGTGGGGCTGATTGTAGCCAAACGGGTGGACCAGGGAGATGGCCCTGATGCAGTACACTGGAGAGGGTGGGATGGATACCCATGGCACCGAGGGGCACAGGAACTGAATTCCAAGGTGTGGGAGTTCTAGCTCATGCTCTGTGCCATTTATAAAAAATAATGATAATAATCAGGTCAGGCAGAGCACTGAGTGAGAGGAGAGAGAAATAGCTTTGGAAAGAGACAGGGAGGCTCACGGAGACACATGTGTGCGAGCGTGGGCCAGTGGTCACTCATGCACGTGGGGCAGGCTGTAAGTTGACGTGAAGTAACGTGGCTTCTCATTGAGGTCCCTCACCGGCACTGGCCCTTCAAGGTTCTGACACATAAATTCGTGTTTGTAGTCTCTTTCTTAATAAGGACCCCACATTGTGTAAGGGTTAGGCCTCACAACACCTGGCTCTGCTCCTGCATCCTTGGGCTCCCACAGACACGCAACCACCCCTCCCGGCCTCACGCTGCCTCCTCATAGCCCTGTCCCCTGCTCACATTCRTCCTGGAGTGACTACGCYTCCCTCTTGTCCCCACATGTGCACRCATGTGGTTTGGGGCTTCTTGAGTGTCTGTTTATGGTTAGGAAATCGCCCTGCTCCTCCTCTGCCTCTGTCACAGAGGGAACMTTGGAGGGAAGTCTGACTGCTGTGCGACCTCTGGCCACCCTGCCCATCCCCTTCCGCCCTCTAGGCACACGATCCYCGAATTTACTCTCAGGCTGTGGGTCCTCCCAGCCCAATCTAACCCTCTCAGATAGGGAGYGGGTTTCAGGTGAGCAGTTGGCCTTTAGAGAGAGGCTTTTCCAGAAGAACYCAAAGCTCCCAGGCTTTGGGTCGCTTCTTTTGTGCTCTCACGTACTCYAGGGGCCACTCGATTCCCTCCCTTGTGTCTAGTGGGCCCCCAGGGAACAAGAACTTGTCCACATGATAGAGCTGCATAGGTCACAGCAAGAGCACTAGAACTTGAGATTCTTCGTGCCCAGTGGTGATGCTCCTAGAATTCASTTGTTTTTTAATTTCCAAGTAAGACATGACACAAGAAAAAGTCTACGTCCCAGTTCCAAARGCATCAGGGCAGGCATGCATGCACACTCCTGAAATCCCAGCTGCGAGTGTGGGCCAGTGGTCACACATGCACACAGGGCAAGCTGTAAGTTGATGTGAAGGCCGGAGGYGAGAGGATTGCAAGTTCAAGGCCAGCCTCAATTTAGCAAGGCCCTAAGCAACTCAGCGAGACCCTGTCTCAAAATAGTAAAAAAGGGTTGGGGATGTGGCTCAGTGGTTAAGTGCTCTGGGTTCAAAACCTAGTACCAAAGAAAGAAAGAAAGAAAAAAGGCACTAGAGGCAGACCTCCCTCCTGTTTGAGATTCCCAGGTGCCGATTATTCTGTTCCTAGACTGCCTCTTTCCATCACTTGATCTGGGGTTTTAAAGGCTTCACAAACTAGATTTAGGAATCTCTGTGCCATCTTGATGGATGATTTCCTTAGGAACAATTACTAAACATCCATCTTTATGTGACAGTGTGGTGAAGGGTTTTATAATCTGAGGGCTTTATGGTCAAAATTAGGTCATTGTCTCCTAGAGGTGAACAGTTCAAGGCAGATGCAGGCAGACAATAATGATTACTGGCATTTATTGAACATTTATTAAGTGCCAGCAACTCCCTTGAATTCTCCACTGGTATAATCTCATTTAATCCTGTAATGAACCCATGAGGTGGGTCCTTCTATTGACTTCCTTTGACAGCTGGAGGAATGGAGCACAGAGAGAGGTAAGTCATTCACCCGAAGTCCCTTAGGTAGTAACTGCCGGAGCTGCGATTGGAACAGGGACAGTCTGACTCCACAGCCCAAAATCTCAAGACGAATGCAGAATTCAGTGCAGTGAAAATAAACGGAAGGATTAGTTGGTAGGATGATGCATGAGAAGGGAATTTCAAGTTGYACAACTAACATCAAGTGGGAAGAGAGCCCGCTTTGGACTGTGTCCTGGGCTCTAATCCCCGTCCTCTCTCACGTCCTAACCATGTAGCCTAAGGCTGGTTACCTGGCCTCGGGTTCCTCCTCAAAGAACAAGACAGCGGTACCTATCTCTGGAGGTTAGCAGAGAATTTGCTAGCATCCGGCTTGGTGAGGTGTTGATTTCCTTTCCTTTCTGTGCAAGTTGTCAAGTTTTCCTTGGGAGGGTGAGGAGTAATTTGGGATTTCAAGACTAATCCAGTTGTTTCTGGAGGAAAAATGTCCAACCAGCCCTGCAATCCCCTGCCTCCAAGAGACTTCTTGCCGCCACCATCTCCTCCTACTTCTCCTCCAGGCTTGCCTGCAGTTGGAGGAGTTGCGGGCTGCACAGGGYGGAGTGTTTGGCTTCAGGCAGCTGTCAGACAGCTGTCACCCTTTTGGTCTCTCTTCCTTCATCATCATCCTTTTTTTTTTTTCTTTTAAAAACAAGGACAGCCTCTTGCATAACCACAGTGCAATTACCAAATTCTGGAAATCTAGTACTGATACCGTTCTAACATACAGTTCATGTTTAAATTTTTCCAAGTGTCCTAATAATGTCATTTTAGAATCTAATTCAGGGTCGAGTCTCTTTGCTCTCTCTTAACCTGGACAAGTCCCTCGGCTTTTCTTCGTTGTTCGCGGATGGACCTTTCTTTAAGAGCACACATCGTATCTGGGCCTTCCTGGTCTTGTTGGGTCTTTCTTTTTCCTCTCTCCCTCCCCCATCCTTGAGCAGGCCTGACTACTAGGGTGAGAGGCTTAGGGCACTCTCTGTGGACACGAAATTTAAGACAGAGTTTGCCAAAAAGCTGGGCAATCAAGATTAATAATACTTTAATGCATATTTTAAAATATCAGCCTAATGCAAGCATTTCATTCATTTTTTTYCCCTCCCATACTGGGGATTGAACCCAGGGCTTTGAGCATGCCAGGCAARCACTGACTATACCCCAGCCCTTTTTGATTTTTGATTTTGAGACAGGGTCTTGCTAAGTTGCCCRGGCTGGCCTCAAACTTGAGCTCCTCCTGCCTCAGCCTYCTGAGCACACCATGACTGACATTTTTATTACTGCATGGGCATATTTATTTATCTTTTTAAAGGCAAAATTGATTAAAAGTACCAGTTCAGGGAATGTGGCTCAGTATAGAGCCCTTGCCTGGCATGCATGAGGCCCTGGGTTTGATCTCCATTACTGCAAAAACAAACCAAAAGATTGCATCAAAAATAGTATAAATCATTCCCCCCACTCTCCCACCCCCCAGTTCTGGGGCTTGAACTCAGGAACTCACGTATAGTAAGCAAGCTTTGTACCACTGAGACATATATCCCCAGGCCATCCCACCCTTCTTTTTTTATTTTGAGACAGAGTCTATTGCCTAGGTTGGTCTCAAACTTGGGATCCTCCTGCCTCAATCTCCTGAGTAGCTGGAATTACAGGGGTGCACCACCCCTCCGGAGAATAGTATAAATCATGCTTGCTGAGTTTTTGGGTGCCCTTGTGCTTCGTGCCCCTGTGGTCTGCAGGATGGGTTCTCTCCTGCCCATCATGCCATTCTCAGAACAAGGGAGAAAGAGAGGTGGGGCCCAGCCAGCTGCTGTCCTTGTCCTGGGCCAGAAGGGAGGAGGAGGGAGGAGGAGGGAGGGTGGGGACAGGGAGAAGAGGAGGGAGAGGAATGGTACTAGGGCCTCTGGCTGGAAGCTAACAGCTTCCAGCTGCTTCCACACCCAGTAGACTTCCGCTGGGGGAGTGATGGTTGGTTGGTTTTTTCCTCTCTTCCCATCAGATGTGTGATCTAATTAGATCCRGGGACCCCTCACCCTACCAGTGCTCCCTGTCCTAACATCACCGTGGTTCCCTTAATTGATCCTGTTCTGAACCCAAGTCTGCCACTGTTCTTATGCATCCAAGGAGCCCTGAGGCTCTGTCCCTAGCATGCCCCTTGAACCCTTTGAACCGCATGGGGGTGGGTGGGGGGTGGCGGGGGGTGGGGGGGCTTTCACAGGATCTGTCCCCCAGCAAGGCTGTCATGCCAGCTAAGTCCCTCCACCCTCACCTGGCTCTGAGTCTAGTGGATGGGGGAGCAGCGTCAGGGTGCTCACCTGTCGAGKAGGAAGGCCCCAGGGTGGGCTGTCTTAGCAAAGCCCCTTAACCTCACTGAGCTTCAGAGGTGTGTAGTTTTGTGAGATGCAAGTGGTAGTACTTTTCTACCTGCCTCATAAGATCTGAAAGAATCAAATGAGATAATGAGAGAGTTCTGTGAACGGGTAAAGGGTTTGACTTGACATTCCCCTTTTGTAAACAAATAACGTCCTTAATTTTTATAAAGTCCATGTTCAGATCTGCCTCATTCATTGATCCAAACTCATGAGAGGGAGGAACACAGGGTGCTCACACTCCTGCTCATCTGCCTTCACGCAGCATTTCTATCAGAGGGAAGCAGGTGCCTGGGAAGCCTGGAGTCCTGCCCGCTCCTCCCTCTCCTGTGTTCCATCACCACCTAACACAGTGGGCTCCCCAGAAACAGTAGTGGTCTTTTTTTTTTTTTTTTTAATACAAGGCTCATCTGAAGCTTTTGCTTATTATAACTTTATTGAGGTATAATTGATACATGACAGACGGCATGTATTCAAAGAGTAAAAACTTGATATGTTTTGTGAAACCATAACCACAATTAAGATAATGAATATAACTCCCCAGAGTTTCTTCCTGCGTTTTTGTAATCCCTCCCTCTACCCTGTCCCCAGGCAACCACTGATCTGCTTTGTGTCACTATAGATTAGTTTGCATTTTTTAGAGTTTTTTATAATAGAGTCATTCGGTATGTACTTTCCAAGAGGAGAAAGGACCTGTCTTCTTTCACTCCGAATAATTATTTTGAGATTGATTGTGTTTTTGGTAATTAATAATTTGTTTTCTTTCTTGTTGAGGGGTGTGCTTTTGTGTAGATGTGCCCCATGTCATGGACATTTGGGTGGTTTGCAGTTTGGGGCTATTACAGGAATATCGGTGTATAAGTCTATGTGTGTGTGGACATATGCTGGGATTTCTTTCAGGTGAATACCCAAGAGAAGACTCACTGGGTTGTAGGGATATATGCAGAGCTTTTGAGGAAACTAGTGTCTGTTTTACAGAGTGGCTGCACCATTTGTATCTCGCCAGCAGTCCATGAGAGTTCCAGTTCCTCCACGTTCTTGGCCATATGGTGGCCTTGAATTTTGGCTGTTCTATGGTGTGTGCGTAATGGTGGCTCACTGGAGTTTCAATTTGCATTCCCTGAATGACATGGAGCATCTTTCATAGACTTTAATTTACACTCCTGTCTTTTTCTTGGTGGTGTTTGCTATCTTAATCTCAAGTCACGAGAGTTCTTCATTTGTTGTACATATAAGTCCTGTGTCAGTTATATGTTGTAGAATGTCTTTATGGTTTTTCGTTTTCATTAACAATGTCTTGATGTTCATTTTATTGAGTTTTCTTTTATAGTTGGTGCATTTTGTGTCATCTTTGCCAAACCTGAAGTCACTAAGGTGTTTCTCCCATATTTTCCTCTAGAAATCTTACAGTTTGGGCTCTTAACATTCAGGTCTGTGATCCATTTTGAGTTACTTTTTAAATGGTAGAGTCAAGATCTGTTTGGTTTTTGCGGTTTGTTTGTTTGGCATATGGATCTCCAGTTTTTCTAGCACCATGTAGTGAAAAGGCTGTCATTTACCAACCCCTTACCCCACCCCCATTGAAATTGGCTTTATACCTTTGTTGAAAACTTGTTGACTGCCAGGCATGGTGGCACATGCCTGTCATCTCAGTGGCTCTAGAGACTGAAGCAGGAGAATCATGAGTTCAAAGCCAGCCTCAGCAACTTAGTGAGATTCTGTCTCAAAATAAAATATAAAAAGGACTGGGGATATAAAATAAAATATAAATTAAAACATTAAAAGTTGCTCAGTGGTTAAGCACCCCTGGGTTTAATCCCTAGTACCAAAAAAAAAAAAAAATGTAGGTTTATTCCTAGGCTCTATTTTTTTCTGTTTATATATACACATATCTTTACACCAACACCACACTGTCTTGACTACTGAGGCTTTATAGTAAGTCTCAAAGTCAGGGAGTGTACATCTTCCAACTTTATTCCTCTTTTAAAATGTTTTTTGATTAGAATTAGCTTGTCTTTTTTTTTGCAGAGATCCTGTTGGGATATTGATTGGGATTGTATTGCATCTATAGAAAAATATGGGTAAATTAGATAACTCAACAATATTGAGTCTTCTATTGAAATAGTATCATTTTCCCTTTATTTAGATTTTATTTAATTTCAGCAGTGTTTTATAGTGTTCATCTTATACATTTTTTTTGCCAAATTTATTCCTAAGTGTTTAATATTTGTTACACAAATTGGGGTTTTAAAAATTTTAATTTTTCATTACAATTTTAATTTTTCATTACAATTTTAATTTTTCAGTACATAGGAATACAGGTGATTTTTCTACGTTGACCTTGTATCCTGAACCTCTTCCTCCCCTACTTCAAAAGTCAACTGAGCAGGAACCTGGAAATACTGAGGTGCAGGGTGTTTGTGTGCAAACATTGGCATCTTTCAAGTCTTAGTTCATCTGGGTAGCAGCCCTGTAGTAAAGGGTGGAGAAGAGGATGGTGTGGTGAACTCTGACCTGCACAGGAAGAAAACCCCCAGACCTCGGGGGTATTCTTGAGGGCAAACAGAGTAGGTTAGGAATGCGAATATGATGCAGCCTCTTTAAGAAACCGTGGCCAGCAGCCATCAGGCCAYTGGGAATGCAGCCCAGGAGATAAGATAAGGCCCCCTGGCTGGTTTAAACCAGGGTCCTGAGCCACAGTGGCTGGCCTGCTGATAGGCAGACAGGAACCAGGGGCGATAAGGAAGATGCCAGCTACTAAAGACAGGCTGGCAAGAGGCGAAGCAGCCTAATCACGCATCTGGGGCTGGAGGGGGAAGAGGGTATTGATGTGGGTGTGTAGAGGGGGGCCCTTGTATTCTTGTGCACATCCTATCATATTTATGATCATGGTTTAAAAAATAAACTCAACTAGGCTATACTTAAATGCCCTCAGCTTCCTTT